CATCCAAAACTGGCTCCCACAGGAGATATCGCTTGGGTGAGATCAAGCGATATCTACACTTTGCAGACCATTGTGACGTCATTGGTTACCATGACGTCACAATCAAATGACACCACTAATGGTTCTGCTACTGAAGCTATAAGCAGTACTTTTTACACTTAAGACACTGCTTATTACTGTCTACAAACTGAAAAAGTTGGAAGAATGATGTTGGATGATAAATAAAATCTCACCTGAGTGTCTTTTGATATCAAATATATCAACACTCGTTGATAACAGTGGGAAAAAACCTTGGCAAGCCTCAGAGTTTTCCCACTTTTATTAACTCGTGTTGATATGTTTTATATCAAAAGACACTCAGGTGAAATTCTCTATGTGTTGCCTACCCTGAAGCTGAAATAGCATGGCACTCACATTGCTGGCTCACTTTGTCCATGAGGCCTGAATGTCCAGGCTAGGTGAAGAGTCTACCCACAGATAGGAACATTCTCATTACCCTGTGATCTCCTGGGGCTTTGATGACAGAAAGAACAGGAAAAATCACTCAGATATCTTTGATAGAGTCCCCGGCTTTTGACCTATGGATGGTTGAATCTACATTATTTGGGAAACATGTGAAATTTGAAACTACCCAATTAGTCTAAGACCATGAGATTGTCAGTTTGGAAAGTGTTATTGACATTGTGGAATATTTGAAATGACATTTTGGTATACTCCAGAATGTGGTAGATGGGATGAAGAAGTTGAGATGTGTATCGGGATGTTTCTCAGAGTGGGCCTGTCTGTGTCTGTGTCCACTGGCTCCAGATTTATGGTTTATCAAGGGTTAATCTTGTCATTTCCCTAAAAACATCACTGGATATCTCAGAAAAAAATTCTTACTGATATCTGTACATCTCTTATTCCATCTGGCACGGACACAGCCTTTTATGATATAGTGGATACAAGATCTGGGGTTAGATCCCTGGCCGTGTCATGCAAACAGATGTTAAAAGATGGTACTTGTTGTTACCCTGCCTGGCATTAAGGGTAAAACAAGGACTGGTCAGTAGTGTGTCTGAGGGGCATCCACGTTAAAATACGGCATGGTATCTCAGTGGGCTAGCACAATAAACCATTTCACCTCACCTGGAACAGGGTGGCCCAGTGGTCTGGTCATTGTGAAGAATTGTGTCCTTTGCTGCCAGGTTCAAATCTCAATCTGCCACTGCTTAAAGTGGAAAACGTCTGAGATCTGCATCACTCTTGAATTTCCTCTTAAGATTATGAACATGCCATGGTGTATGACATGAATTACGTTCAAAGCTTTTGAACTCATACATTTCATCTTTCCATCCCTTTCATTCATTTTATCTGTAATTAACCATTATCAGTGTTCCAAATCAAGCATCCCTTGATTAAATACCATAGAAAAACTCCAGGACCAAGCCCCCCATTAATTTTGAACACTGATCATGAATTTCCTCATTCCATCCATCATTTGAGACACTCGTTTTATGCGTCCATTCAGCTGATCCTCCCTCTCCTTCTTTCATTTAATACATCAATCATTCAACATCGCCATGCCGTCATTCACTCCCTTGCTCCTTTCATTCACCTCCATGCTGCCTCCGGCATATCGGCCACTCAGCAGAAATACAGCCTGGCTTGTGTATACACAGATTTATCTACCAGTATCGTATGTACTATAGGCAGTACTACTCAGCCCAGAATAGCACAGTCATAACTCTCCCCAGATGGGGCAGTATGTACAGCCTCAAGTGTGTGGAGATTTGTAGAACGATGAGGTGATGTGTTTGTTTGACATCAGTTGGTGTAGTTGTAGGGAGATTGACGTAGTTGGTGTAATTGTAGGGAGATGGGCATTGTCTTTCCATATACAAGAAATCCAAAACTTACCATATTCCAGAATCCCGACCAAATCCTAAGCTTACCATATACCAGAATCCAAAGATTACCATATACCAGAATCCCAAGTTACCATATACCAGAATCCCGACAAGAATCCGGAGCTTACCATATACCAGAATCCCAACCATACCATATACCAGAATCCCAAGCCTACCATATACCAGAATCCCAAGCTTACCATATACCAGAATCCAAAGCCTACCATATACCAGAATCACAAGCTTACCATATACCAGAACCACAAGCTTACCATATAACAGAATCACAAGCTTACCATATACCACAATCACAAGCTTACCATATACCACAATCACAAGCTTACCATATACCACAATCACAAGCTTACCATATACCACAATCACAAGCTTACCTTATACCACAATCACAAGCTTACCTTATACCACAATCACAAGCTTACCATATACCAGAATCCAAAGCCTACCATATACCAGAACCACAAGCTTACCATATACCAGAACCACAAGCTTACCATATAACAGAATCACAAGCTTACCATATACCACAATCACAAGCTTACCATATACCACAATCACAAGCTTACCATATACCACAATCACAAGCTTACCATATACCACAATCACAAGCTTACCATATACCACAATCACAAGCTTACCTTATACCACAATCACAAGCTTACCATATACCACAATCATAAGATTACCATATACCACAATCACAAGATTACCATATACCACAATCACAAGATTACCATATACCACAATCACAAGATTACCATATACCACAATCACAAGATTACCATATACCACAATCCAAAGCTTACCATATACCACAATCACAAGATTACCATATACCACAATCACAAGAATACCATATACCACAATCCAAAGCTTACCATATACCAGAATCACAAGATTACCATATACCACAATCCAAAGCTTACCTTATACCAGAATCAAGCTTCACAGGACCATGAATACATTTTTAGGAAGCAGGAAATGACACGACCAGGTGGAAGCGAGAGAATGTTTTGTCAGCACCCTCTGTTAAATCAAGGCAGCTTAATCTGTGATAACATCATGGCAGAATAACGCCGCTCCACGAAACGGAAATATGCCAGGTACACTCGGCCTGACAACACTACGCCAGGTGCTGAAAGCTGTGTCACAATCACACATTCCATGCTAACGAGGCAGACAGGTGTATATTGACAAGGTGATATATTTCTAGAACCCAGCTGTTTGTAGCATCAGAGGCCATAGTGTCCAGGAATCTATTTGCACATTGATGTCAGCCGTCAGTATCATAGTTCTGTACTTAAAACAGACATAGCCTTGGCTTGGGAGTGTCATAGTTACTCTACTTTACCATAGATGTGAAAGTTGTAGTAGCAGAGTCATAATGTGAAACCGGAGAAGGTGTTTTTGACTCACGTTTCATGTCAGTGTCAGATAGTTTACCACCGCTAGGGATTCTGGGTATGAATGTAGGTCCCAGCCTCCGATGCTGGTAGCTGGAGGTGACTAATTGGATCAAGTGGTCACCTTGGTGACTATGTTGATTGCATGTCACTGTAGCTTAGTTGCATGGGTCGATGCTCATGATATCAATCATTGGATTGTCTGGTACCAGTCTGATTAATTACAGACCGCTGCCATATAGCTTGAATATTGCTGGCATTATACAAACAAACACACATGATATATTTTACACTGATTGTAACACATCTTCTCTCTGTAAAGAACTTTAACTCAATACACATATTTGTTATATGTTTTAATTTTAGAATATTCAGAGATTTAGTAGTCGGTGATTCATCATACTTTAGATCTGAACATTGGCTCGTGAAAGGGCAAGATTCCCAGAAAACTCGTCAGACGTTTTTTCACAAACTTGAATATCGATCATTGACTTTTGATTTCCCGAACAAATTCGTTGAAGCTGAAAGTCTTTCTAACCCTCCAAGAACATGAGAGACTCTGCAGTTGACCAATCTGCAATCTTCTGAATTATTTATGTGATGAGACACTGGAAACGGATTTTCTTCTGGTGGTGCATGGCATTGTGGGAAGGAAAGGTTGTTAGGCCGTTGTGTGGTAGATGTAGTGGATTGTCTTTCTTTGACGGCACGATTGTAGGGTTGCGTTTGTTTTGTCTTCAGAGGCTGGAATTGTATGTGATGTGATTGTTGTTGCCATGGAGATGAGACATTGTGTTGCTATGGAGATGAGGCATTGTGTTGCCATGGAGATGAGACATTGAGTTGCCCCTATCCGTTTTTGTTTTGTTATTTTCTGTCCATCATTTTATGATGGGCTTACAATTCCACATGAACAATCAAAGTTACTTGGACAATAAGGAGATAGTTTGGAACAGTGCTTGTTTTGAAAATGGATGAAATTTGAATCAGTTAATTGTGGACCATGCCTCAGGTGAAGCAGTTTAGTAGTCTGGTTGCATTTGTGTATGTTTTTACTTGTACTCATGTTCCAATAAGTAATGTGTACACAAGTAAAATGGGAGCTTATGACACCACGGAACCTCCCACAACATCTTACATTGTGATTTGTCTGATCTGGCTACTTCACAAGTGATCAGCAAGTGAGGATTTTATGTATGCTTCATTGATATATTTGCTAGTGGTACTTTTCTCCAAATGCTGAAGAGTGATATATTTGTCAGTCACCTTACCATTATGTCCTTTGGCAACAAAGTTACCTCCCTTGGCAACAGAGTTACCTCCCTTGTCCTTGCTGGCAGTGTTGGTTGAGGTCGCCATTTTGACAATACCATCTTTATTGTAATACTTGCCAGAGTTAGAAACTAACAGTTTTTGTCCACTAGTCCTTATAATGATAACATATAGCAAACCCCTTGAAATTGGCCAATTTCTACTAGTCCTTATGATACCTTTACCATTGGGCAGTTTGGTAAGAACTACAGGACTAGTGCCAATTTCTAACGCTGCTTGCATGCTTTAATAGGATTTGATTTGGGGGGGAAATGTTTGTTATGTTTTCATGGAAACACAGAGAGCAGATATTCATGTTTTCCAATTGTTTGCTGGTATATCTCAAACAGAATGTTCAAAGTTGTTTTTTCTGTTTCAGGGAACCCCGGAAGATTGTTTTAAAGAAAGGGTCTACTGGTCTTGGGTTCAACATCGTCGGTGGCGAGGATGGAGAAGGCATCTTCGTATCGTTCATACTGGCCGGGGGGCCAGCCGATCTCAGTGGAGAACTCCGACGAGGAGACCAGATACTGTCTGTGGGTGGAAAGGATGTGAGTAGAAGATGCTGAGCATCGTTCAGCACATCATTTATCTTTCTCGGGGTAGCCTAGCGGTTAAGGTGTTAGCTCATCACACCAGGGCTTGATTCCCCACATGGTTTTGATGTGTGAAGCATGTTTTTGGTGTCTCCCCACTGAGATCATGCAATATATCTCCTTTGTTTCTTATGGGATAGGGGCACGGGTGGCCCAGTCGTCCAAGGCGCCGCGATTCGCTGTGCAGAGTTGGGTCCCTTGAGCACACCAGAAACCTATGATTGTGGGTTCGAATCCTGGTTCGCCCCAATTATGTTTCTAGGTTTGTCAGCACCATACCCATGCTCATGGATTTCACCGAAGTGGTAAACGTCTGAGACCTGCATCATTTCGGGCTTTCCTCCCACATTAAGCTGACACACTGTGCTATAACTGGAATATTGTTAAAAGCGGCGTTAAACCCAACTCACTCACTCACTCTGGTGAGATAGCCTAGCAGTTAAGGCGTCAGCTCATCACATGGAAGGCCTGGGTTCATTTCCCCGCACGGTTCCAGGTTTGGTCTATTTATCCAAGACTCCCTAATACATGTATGCCTTACATAGTTGCCTCCCTGAAGATGTGACACGAAGCATTTTATTAACAGGCTTAACTGGTCTAAAACTCTTGATAAGATTTCACCAGATTTCTACTTCCAAATTTTCGATGCGAAGATTATGCCAGTGCTTCTGTATGGTGCTGAGGTCTGGGGGTTTGAAAATGTTGAAAAATTGGAAACTGTGCAGTTATATGCTTGTAAACGTTTTTTGGGTTTAAAATTATCCGCATCAAACAACCCTGTATTGGGCGAGTGTGGCAGATATTTTCTAAATATTCTTCTTAATATGTTTAAACAATGTTTAAAAGACCTGGCAGCAGATCTGGCATAGCGAACTTCTTGCAAATTCAAAAATGTCATTTTATGCTTGTTTTAAAACTTATGTTAAATGTGAACCTTATTTGTCATTCTTAAATTCGCAAAATATGAGAACAACCCTCACACGATTCAGACTGAGTTGTCATACTTTGGAAATTGAGAATGGACGTCATTATAAAATTCCAAGAAATTTAGAAATTTAAGAAAATGCAAACTTTGTAAATTAGACTGTGTTGAAACCGAGTACCACTTCCTGCTTATTTGTCCATCGTATGTCAAGTTACAGCAACTATATCTCAAAGCAAAGTTCTATTGTCTTAAAAGATGGTGTTTTAATAGAATTGTATGCAATCAGAATCTGTTCCTACAATTTCAATACATGTTATAAATGAATCTTCATCTTAAAAGTAGTATTCAACTCCAATCAAGTCAACAAGTCCATCTTCTTAGTGTTGTGACAACACACACTTGCTCTGGGTACTAACCCCCAGGTCCAGCATTCTCCTCTCCTCCCTCCTCCCCCACTTTAATCTTCTCTTTCCCCCACCTCCCTATCTCCCATCCCCAGTCACAGAGGTCCTGATGGGGTATGCGTTTGGCTTAAAACTGGGAAAAACTATCTTAACAGAAGATGAATCAAAGTTTATTGTAAATTATTCATGTCTAAAAGTCAATAAAAAATTGCTTTGCATAAATTAAAACTTTACTGTTAATTGTAATCATGCTAAGATCTCGTAAAAGTCATATAGATAGGTCTCAAATGATACAACAATACCAGCCAGGGTTTGGTATTTTCAAAACACAAATTACAGTAATAAGACAAAAGCCAAACCAGCTATCCCTGTTTCCCTAGAGACTGATGATCCACATTTGCAAAAGGGATGATTTCATATTTTACAGTCTTAAACTGCCGTCTTTACTGAATTAACATGTTGAAGAAAACATGTACACAACATTATTACTAAGCCAAAAAATAACATCTTCTTGTTGTTACTTCTTTCAGTGGCATTTAGAAGTTGGTGTGATGAAGTTGTTGTTGTTGTTGTTGCTTTAAGTGTTTAAGAGGTCGCCTTCTACCTCAGGAATTTCGGCTGACCTGACTAAAGGCCCCAAAGTTTAACTATTGACTTGTGCCCCCTCCCCCCCACCCATATCCCCCACCCACCCACCCTGATTGCTCCCCATTGTGTCACAGTAATGCTGCCGCTCACCTCCAGTTGGCATTGTCTAGAATTGACCCTATTGTCTTTCATCAATTATATTAGAGCAAGATCAATCCCGATGGCTGTTGGAACAAAGCAGGGATAATCCACTGAGTCAGCTAGAGTAGGGTTAATCCTGGAGTAGAGTTAATCCTGTTATGTGACTAGGAGACTCCCGGCTCAGCCACTGAGGATTAGGATGTTGCCACTTCTCCAGCCATCTCTCTGCTTCTATATACAGCAGCCACCGCTGACAGTTTACATCATTAATCTCAGGGTTGGATCTGGGCTTGGACAAAATTGTTGCCGAACTAGATTTATCAAATTTTGGTGGTTTGAAAGTCACATAGACGCTGCTAAGACTAGTCTTGGATTTCTCCTGTAGCCTGATTGGGTGGATGAGATAGTACTGTAGACTTCACGGCCAGTAGTGGATTTGAAAGTTTGTCAGCAGGCCCGGCAGTATGAAGTGGTTCCAGTTGAGCTGTGGACTTCATCCCGTTGCCTATCAGGATCTCACCGGTGTACGCAGTGTAATGTTCAATAGTAACACTTCGATCTCTTGATTTTATTGTGACATTGCATCAGGGTATTGAAGTAAATAATATTATAGTCCTACTGGTGATGCTTATCCTATATGAATTACTTCTTGGTGATTGATGGACATCTTTTGACGTGTAGACACCATTGTTCATATCCAACTAGTCCAGGGGCGGTCGGGTAGCCTCGTGGTTAAAGCGTCACGCCAAAGACCCGGGTTTGATTCCCGACATGGGTAAAATGTGTGAAGCCCATTTCTGGTGTCCCCCGCCATGATATTGCTGGAATATTGCTAAAAGCGGCGTAACCATACTCACTCACTCACTCACTCACTCCAACCAGTCCACGACTTAGTTCGGAGACTAGAGAGTAACATAAAACTAGATTTGGGGAGAACTTGTCCAGATTTTCACGAATCTCATCTCAGGCTGACGGACAAGTGTTGCGTCTATCCCTGCTTACTGACTGAGTAATCAGGTGTCTTCTGTTTAAATGTATAATTACAAATATTTGCTCTTGCTCAGTGTCTGAATTAACCGCTGCCCACCTGCCCGTGCCTGGTAACTTTCTTCTCAGGCGGTCCGAAATTTTCCTCCACCTCCCGAATGTCTGGCAAATAATTTTAAGACTATTTACACATACATAGTTTTGTCATAACTTTTCTCGTAGATTTTAAGAAATTGTTTGCATTATTTCAGCTGAATCAAGATGCGATTTGTCTCTTAATTTTTGCATATTTTTTTGCATATTTTTCAATACTTATCGTGTCTTAATGCGGGCAGGTAACTCTGAAGATGGGGAAGCAACATTTATGGGTCACCTGCCCGACTGTCTTGTTTAAAATTATTTCAAAGACTGGTCATGGTATCGACCTCCTGCCTGGTCCAAGCTTGAGAGCCGACCAGTAAAATAACATGTATTGGAGAAAGAGTTTGATATTTTGATGTTCATCGTGTTGTTGATGTTGCAGATGAAGCATGTGGAGTTGTTGCATGCGACACATGAAGAAGCAGCAGCAGCACTGAAGGGAGCTGGAGACACCGTGGAAATAGTTGCTCAATACAAACCAGAAGGTAGGCCAGTAGGCGGCAAGCTACACTGTGCTGTACGGGGCGGTGGGGTAGTGGAAATAGTTGCTCAATACAAACCAGAAGGTAGGCCAGTAGCTGGCAAGCTACACTGTGATGTACGGGGCGGTGGGGTAGTGGAAATAGTTGCTCAATACAAACCAGAAGGTAGGCCAGTAGCTGGCAAGCTACACTGTGCTGTATGGGGCGGTGGGGTAGTGGAAATAGTTGCTCAATACAAACCAGAAGGTAGGCCAGTAGCTGGCAAGCTACACTGTGCTGTACGGGGCGGTGGGGTAGTGGAAATAGTTGCTCAATACAAACCAGAAGGTAGGCCAGTAGCTGGCAAGCTACACTGTGCTGTATGGGGCGGTGGGGTAGTGGAAATAGTTGCTCAATACAAACCAGAAGTTAGGCCTGTAGCTGGCAAGCTACACTGTGCTGGAGGGGGCGGTGGGGTAGTGGAAATAGTTGCTCAATACAAACCAGAAGGTAGGCCTGTAGCTGGAAAGCTACACTGTGCTGTACGGGGCGGTGGGGTAGTGGAAATAGTTGCTCAATACAAACCAGAAGGTAGGCCTGTAGGCGGCAAGCTACACTGTGCTGTACGGGGCGGTGGGGTAGTGGAAATAGTTGCTCAATACAAACCAGAAGGTAGGCCAGTAGCTGGCAAGCTACACTGTGATGTACGGGGCGGTGGGGTAGTGGAAATAGTTGCTCAATACAAACCAGAAGGTAGGCCAGTAGCTGGCAAGCTACACTGTGATGTACGGGGCGGTGGGGTAGTGGAAATAGTTGCTCAATACAAACCAGAAGGTAGGCCAGTAGCTGGCAAGCTACACTGTGCTGTACGGGGCGGTGGGGTAGTGGAAATAGTTGCTCAATACGAACCAGAAGGTAGGCCAGTAGAGGGCAAGCTACACTGTACTGTACAGGGCGGTGGGGTAGTGGAAATAGTTGCTCAATACAAACCAGAAGGTAGGCCAGTAGAGGGCAAGCTACACTGTGCTGTACGGGGCGGTGGGGTAGTGGAAATAGTTGCTCAATACAAACCAGAAGGTAGGCCTGTAGACGGCAAGCTACACTGTGCTGTACGGGGCGGTGGGGTAGTGGAAATAGTTGCTCAATACAAACCAGAAGGTAGGCCAGTAGCTGGCAAGCTACACTGTGCTGTACGGGGCGGTGGGGTAGTGGAAATAGTTGCTCAATACAAATCAGAAGGTAGGCCAGTAGCTGGCAAGCTACACTGTGCTGTACGGGGCGGTGGGGTAGTGGAAATAGTTGCTCAATACGAACCAGAAGGTAGGCCAGTAGAGGGCAAGCTACACTGTACTGTACAGGGCGGTGGGGTAGTGGAAATAGTTGCTCAATACAAACCAGAAGGTAGGCCAGTAGAGGGCAAGCTACACTGTGCTGTACGGGGCGGTGGGGTAGTGGAAATAGTTGCTCAATACAAACCAGAAGGTAGGCCAGTAGAGGGCAAGCTACACTGTGATGTACGGGGCGGTGGGGTAGTGGAAATAGTTGCTCAATACGAACCAGAAGGTAGGCCAGTAGAGGGCAAGCTACACTGTGCAGTATTGGGTGGTTGGGTAGTGGAAATAGTTGCTCAATACGAACCAGAAGGTAGGCCAGTAGAGGGCAAGCTACATTGTGCAGTATTGGGTGGTTGGGTAGCCTCGTGGTTAAAGCATTCGCATGTCACACCAAACACCCAGGTTCCACTTCCCACATGGGTACAATGTGTGAAGCCCATTTCTGAGTTCAAACAGTCACACACACATGCATGCACGCGGTTATATAAGTGCAATAATCTTGGACGTGACTTTAAACCCCAAACCCCATTTCACCTCATCTCACCTCATCTCACTTCCTGTGACAACAACCTCAACGACATCCCTGTTAAATATGTTGCTGTTGAAATAAGTTTTCAGATCTCCATACTTTCATCCTGCAGTAAAGGGCATGTTTGATGTGGGAGTTATTTTTAAGCAGTAGTGTATCAGCTTTCATGGAGCAACTGCTCAGTCAATGATATCCCTTCAAAGAGTGCTATAAATTTTGCATAGCTCTTACAGTTAATTATAGATATGAAGATCTTGGCAGGAATAAATTGGAACCTTGTCTCTAACTGAATTTTATCAAAGGCACCAATAAAAGAAACTGTAACTTGTATTATGTAAGGAAGGAAAGACGTGTGATAATCGTTGAATCTTAGTGGTGGTTTTTTTAACCAGCTTCATATGGTATTGGTTGATTGTCGGTGTAGGCCTGGCTGTACATGCATCTGATGGAAGGCATGAATTCACTATACTCAGAGCTCCAGATAAGCTTTTGGTGTTGTGGGTATTTTACCCATGCATTTTAAAATCATTGGGTATCAGTAATTCTATCTGGGTATTCAAATTTCGGTTACCCACTATTTTTTACACATGTGGGTATTTAATTTAAATATTTAAAAACACTTTTCATCTAGTCCCTGCAAACTGGTGTCGTGTGGGTTCGAGAGCTTTGTAGGACTCAAAAATACCACGTTACTTCCACAAGAAAGGGTGATGGGAAATGATCATGATGTAACTGTCATCATGGAGTTTGGCAAGGTTGACGGAATGCCTGTTTATAATTTCAAAATAAGTTGCTGATTTGCTAATCGAATATGCAGGGTTACTTCACAATATTTTGATGATACGCACAAGTTTTGTTTTTGTAGCATATCTGTAATATTCGTTGCGTATCTGATACGCTTGGATTTTATTTTACTGCATATTTCTGCATTTCTGATGTGTATTTTACGCAGATACGCAGCTTATCTGGAGCTCTGATACTACCATGTGAGGAAGGAGTGTGAGGGTATAGAGTGATCTTAGCCCAGTTTTATAATGATATTTGGTCATTGTCAGCATAAATCTGCTTGTACATGCATCTGATGGAAGGCTTGATTTCAGAATACAACCGGTTTGAAGCGAAGATTCAGGACTTGCGAGAACAGATGATGAATACAAGCACTGGCAGCCTGAGGACCACACAGAAGAAAACATTATACGTCAGGTGGGTTGCAGGTGGCACATATGATATGGTGGCTTGGTACTAATGGTCTGGGTTCGAACCCAGTTTGTTTTAAAAAGTCAACAGATGGGTTGCAGGTTGCACATATGGTAGCTTAGTACTAAGCCTCTGGGTTTAAATCTAGTTTGTTTTGAAGACATGCGTCGGGTAGTTTGTAGGTGGCACATATGGTGGCTTGGTCTGGGTTCAAACCAAAGAGGGGGTGTGGGTGGCCCAGTCGTCTAAGGCGCCGCGATTTGCTGTGAAGAGTTGCGTCCCTTGGGCACACCAGAAACCTATGATTGTGGGTTCGAATCCCGGTTCGCCCCGATTATGTTTCTAGGTTTGTCAGCACCATACCCGTGCTTGTGGGTTTCACCGAAGTGGTAAACGTCTGAGACCTGCATCAATTCGGGCTTTCCTCCCACATTAAGCTGCCACACCGTGATATAACTGGAATACTGTTAAAAGCGGTGTTAAACCCAACTCACTCACTCACTCAAACCAAAGACAATTGATGGCAAGTTTGAGGTGTTGTTGTTGCAATCAAGGGGAGGTAACTTGCTGTATAAGTTTCAACATGTGATACTCAAATTCTCAGTGAGGCTTTGAAAGAGATTTTAGATATGAGGAAGAGAATCTATGGATGTCACCTTCGTTATTATGTGTTAGTGGTGGTGTTTTCAGAGCATTATTTGACTACGACCCTACAAAGGACAGTGGCTTACCGAGCAAGGGTCTGGCATTCCGTTACGGTGACATCCTCCACGTCACCAACGCCAGCGACGACGAGTGGTGGCAGGCGAGGCGGATCACCCCCGAGGGGGATGAGGAAGGGATGGGCATCATTCCCAGCAAACGCAGGTACGTGGCCGTGTACTCTCCCCAGGGAGCTGAGGTAACATTGCTTGTGATAGTCCAGAATATGCTTGGTAATTGCTTTGTGCATGCAGGTAATACATTTTACACTGGATAGCAGAATATATTGATTGATTCTTGACCCATTCATAGTGGATATGTAAATTTTGAATCAACTTTAGCCCCATTTTAAAAGTGGAAATATAAACTTTGAATCGATTCCAAACCCATTTTGATAAATAAAATCGTCTTTTGTAAGCCAGATTACATTATTATAAAATTCAAGTTGAGTTTGTTTTTTTATTTGAAATCCCTAGACATTGGTGCTATTTTCCGTGTGACTATTTCAGAGTTGAAAGGAAAGAGAAGGCCAGGTTAAAAAATGTGAAGTTTACAGGCAAGAGCTCCAGCAACAATGATAGGATCAATGTAAGTATACACCCCTCTATCTATGTTCACACCATCAAACACTGGTTTGTCTGAATGTCACCTGACCTTGTGCAGGGCATCTGTGATAATATACAGCATCAATCCTCGATTTTCTGTTCAACTTGTAAAGATCCTCCAACTTTCAAAATCGGGGGTGGTCGGGTAGCCTAGTGGTTAAAGCGTTCGCTCGTCACATCAAAGACCAGGGTTCGATTCCTGACATGGGTACAATGTGTGAAGCCCATTTGCGGTGTCCCCCGCCGTGATATTGCTGGAATATTTGTAAAAGCGGCGTAAAACCTATACTCACTCACTCTGTTATAACGTTATACACATTGCTATACAGTACTTTTTCAGGTTTAGAACTAAACTCAAAAGTTTCACTAGCCCAGGAAAAGAGTGCCTTTGTACTAGCCTGCAGGAAATTGTACTAGCAGGCTTGTTTTAAGTTTTAAAGCACCCCACACCCCCAGAAGACCCGGGTTTGATTCCCGACATGGGTACAATGTGTGAAGCCCATTTCTGGTGACCCCCACCGTGATATTGCTGGAATATTGCTAAAAGCGGCGTAAAACCACACTCACTCACTCTCCTTAAATTTTCTTTGATCAACAAATAAGTTATCAGAGGCTATATGAGAAACCTGGTGAAAACAATCTCTGATTTTTTGTGTTTCTCTTTAATTTCTCAGCAATCAGCAGCAGCCAATGACAGGAAAAAGAAGAATTTCTCCTTCTCTAGAAAATTCCCTTTCATGAAGAGCAAAGACCACAGTGGTTCTGAGGACATCAGTGCTGACGAACGTATGTACAATATACAGAACCCTACAGTCACACTTGTCCTGATTGGCTGGTAGACTCAGGTGTTCTGCTTCATAGACCCACACTGATGAACATAATTCACCTGTTGAGCAACCTAACAATAATACTGTTCCAAACATTATTTATTTTCATAAATGTGTATATTTGATTATATTATTAGCACATCTTTATATCAAGAATATTTTAATTAAGTAATGATAAGAATGTCATGAATGAATTATTTATTATCATGATACTTATATCATTTATCTCAGGAGAATATGATTATTATCATGATACTTATTATATCATTTATCTCAGGAGAATATAATTATTATTATCATGATACTTATTAAATCATTTATCTCAGAAGAATATAATTATTTATAAGAGGGCACTAACTGTTTGAAGTGTTCATGCTTTCATTTTGTGAATGTTATTCACTGTTGTTTGATTTGTCTTTTAATGCTTCCCAGAAGGTAATGTGACAATCAGCTTCCGTAGCCTGCTTCCGTTTGTACACATTGTCTCAGAAAACACAAGAAAGACAACCTAGAATAAGGCTTTATTTATTTATTTGTGAATAGAAATGTGGGGTAAAACTTTTCATAATGTTTACTGTTTCAAATTTCCTGGTTGCATTAAGCATTATTTTAGCTCCATGATTAAGGGGAGATAATCACATCTTTGAAGATGCTAATGGTTTCAAGTGAATGTGTAGAAACAAATATTAAAAATGATTTCATTTTCATCACTAAATTCAAAAATAATAAGTTTTTAATGAAATAGGTCTGGATACAATGTGTAGAGCCTATCGGTGTTCCTGGCTGGATGTAGCTGGAATATTGCTGAGATCGGCGAAACAATTCCCACCCACTAAAAAAATAATTGTTGAACACCAGTAACTGAAAGTGATTGCTAATAGTGCTTCTATTGTGTTTTGCTTCCCAGATGGTATGACAGCAGTGGAAGGTTACTATCATTTATATGTCTTATTGCTCATAGCTTCTGTAGTAGATGTAGTCAATGTCGTCGTAGTGGAGACTAGAACCTGCTTTGTATATCCTGTCATAGGGGCATTACGATACATCTGTTGTTGGGACACGCATAGCATTACGATTTATACCATTGAATTCGGGGTATAATATAAACAGATTCATGCAAATCTTTTTAAAACAAATGTATTTGTACAGAGAGGCTTCTTATTACAAACTCTTCTTGACTTGATCTTTATATATTTTTCAGACTGAAAGGATCATTTTTCAAAAAAACAGTTCATTAAAACTGAATGAAGCATAGGCACGTTATCGTGATGCCCCAATCTTGTTTTTGTGGAACTAAAAAAATCAAATAATGACTAACTGTTTAAAATTTAGATTTATCGTCTCTTACTTTCTTTTCTTTTTTTTTTGTCTGAATAAAATTTGCACGAAATTTATTAAAAATTAATTAAAAAACTAAAAAATGATTCCTGCATTAAAATTTGGAATTTGTGAATAGATGTAGTTTCTGTATGGTGATTTGTAGCTAGATTTTTTTCAAATTGAAATAATTATTAACCACTAATTGAGTGTATATTTAATATATTAAATGAATTAAAAATGTAACATATGATACATGCTCATGGTGCTACAATACTGTTATACTGTGTCATGTTGTACCACCCCTTTATGTGTCTGTACTAACCAGTCCCCTTTATCTGTTGCGCTCTGCTTCACAGAAGGTAATTTGTGTTTAATACCTCCTTTATGAGGGTTTGCTTCTGTAGCCGTAGCCCTCAGTTTTAGATAGTCCTGTTGCTGATGTACATTCAGTTTCATATTTGAGGATATGAGTTAGTAAAGATTAAAAACCTTCATTTACTATATGAGATTTTTTTCAAACCAAACAGTTAAAAAACTCCATCTGTTTAAGATTTGATTTTCGAAAAATGAGCCAAAGTAATATCAGGAAAACTGTTCATATCCTCAAAATATTTTAGTGTAAGCTTCTGTTGAATGTGTAATGTAAGCTTCTTATTGAAGCAGGCCTGGGCCCCGTTCCACATTGCGAACTTAGCCCTAAGACGATCTTCATTCCCATACTTTAACAAAGGTTTACGATAGTAGTAGCGCTAATATTGCTTTGTGAAACGGGCCCCTAGTGTGTTATTGGTTTAGGGATGTCTGGTGAAGAGGGAAAACGGATGCTTTGATGGAGATAATTATCTGTTTCTTTGATATGAAAACTGGTATTATGTTGTGATGAGATTATTTTACTCCACCCTAGGAAGACTATTGATATGTTGCCACGCATGCAGTACTTAATACTAAACTTGTATTGATGATAACAAAAGCCAAATTATTATTATCGTTTTTGTTATTTTATTATTTTTCACTTTTTTTCTAGAGGTAACAGGTTGTTGCTGTTGTAAGGTTTTGAATGTGTGGAAAAATTGAACATTGCTTGGTTTGGCTGTATGCTGAGATTTATTGCGTTTCATGCTGTGGCAACCTTGTTTCGTCATCACGGCCGCCATGGCTGCTTACATGATTATTATGTAATGGTTAATATTACAATACTCCGAAGCAATCAACATTTGTTGGAACATTGTGTCAAATGTCACTAACATGTATAATATATCATGTATACTTCTATCTATGCTATCTAAGGATGATGATGATGATGATTATTATTATTACTATTATCATTTTTATCCTGTGTATCATTGTTACATCTAGTTATTGAGGTATTGTTCATGTGCTTATGATGAACAGGATATGTTAAATGCTTCTCATCCTCGTGCATCAGGGGCAGTAGCTGTATGCTCCTCTCACTAAGAACCAGGGATGATTGCCGTCATGGTTACAGCCTGTGAAACCCATATTTGGTGACCCCTGCCGTGATATGGCTGAAATATTTCATTAAGCGGAGTAAACCATCTCATCCACCTGCTCTTCTCACATCATCCTGTAAGGGACCGGCCATTTCATATTTTGGGGAGGGAAACATTTTGTTTTTGGACAGAATATTGTTTCAGTGACAACTTCAGTGTTTCTTTTTTCTGATCGGTAGACGGTGGGGTAGCCTAGTGATTAAAGCGTTCACTTGTCACGCTGAAAGCCGGTGTTGATTCCCCACATGTGTGAACCAGTGTATGAAATATCAAGATTTGTCTGGCTGCCATCAGGCACCAACTTTAGACGCTGCAAGCCCTGACTAAAAATTTTCAGGCCCTCTTCTAAAAAACGACAGCTTATTGTGACAAATAAATCAACACGTAAATTATCAGCAGGCCATAAGGACCCATACAATTTTGAAACTACGGCCCAACACGTTCGGGCAGATGCTATTTAGGAACCCCTTTTCTGCTGTCCCCCTGCCATGATATTGCTGGAATATTGCTAAACCCGGCATACATCAACTCCCTTACTCCCTTGTTGACGCCAGAAACCTTTGATCGGTTCGAATCCCGGTTTCTAGGTTTGTCAGCACCATACCTGTGCTCGTGGGTTTCACGGAAGTGGTAAACGTCTGAGACCTGCATCACTTCGGGCTTTCCTCCCACATTAAGCACGCGATATAACTGGAATATTGTTAAAAGCGGCGTTAAACCCAACTCACTCACTCAATCTTTGACGGGGAGCCCCAAAAACATTGTTCTCACCACAACACATTTCCTGGGGAAAATCTTTAAGCAAACTTATTTTTTTCCAAATTGTTTTGAACTTTTTTTAAAACAAAAAATATAGATAAAAAACACCAGAATATGAAATGGTTGTTCCCTAACGACAGGTGAAGAGTTGATTGGTTCACCTGTCACCCGTTTTCCTTGTGGCTGTGTGCTGCAGGGTGTTATAGGTTGAAGTGGTATTCACACTGTAGATAGAGATCCTATGGCAGAGTGCCTCCATTGCCTCCTATCATATTCCCCTGCAGACTGTCTCAAACATTTGTCGGGTTATTTCAAAAGTAAGATTTCCATTTAGACTGAAACTACATAATCATGTATCAATTATTGCTTCAGAAATACATAGTGCATATATTTTATTGAAAATGGGGAATGTGGCTTTCACTCAATCTGTACATGCTATATTTTTTGTTAACAGCAGTAAGCTCATTTTTTCTAGATTACTGGTACTGTCTTGACTTTGAAATAACTCAAAAGGTTTTGGGACGGTCCCCTCAACTATCATGTATGTTGTGTACCTCATGGCATGTTCGTTCTCCCCACAGGAAGCGTAGCAAGTGACAATGACACTAGTTATCGTAAGTAAAGCTTCAGTGACCTTCAACCAAGGGGGATAACTCTAACCCACTACCTTGATGTTGGAGATGCTGCATCTCCTTGAATCTATTGTGGCATGCATATTTGCATGGCTGCGCTAACCAGATTGTTCTGTGACGACAATACACATTCTTGCTACGACCTGCTTCACATCTTTCCTCCATGCAGAACTTGTTCCCTGTTTCAGCTGCAACTCTAGACACTACTGTTAGGAATCAATGTGTATTTGCTGATAACTGGCGACTTTGTCATTCACACTGATCCCTTTTGAGTAATAAGCCTTTTTCAAGTCTCTTCAAGATGTGAGCTGTCTTGTTTCCCCTTGTGATGGACTTGTCTTTTGTCTGCCTTAGCTAAGCCTCAATCATTCCACACCTATGTAACTTCTATCAGTCTTTCCACCCTGTATAATATTCCATCAGTCATTGAAGACCTCGATCATGCTATAATGTTATCATGCTGGGGAAGACCTCGATCCACCTCTGTTATCATTCTAGAGCAGACCTTGATCCACCTCTGTTATCATGCTAGTGAAGACCTCGATCCACCTCTGTTATCATGCTAGGGAAGGCCTCGATCCACCTCTGTTATCATGCTAGGGAAGGCCTCGATCCACCTCTGTTATCATGCTAGAGAAGGCCTCGATCCACCTCTAAAAGACGTCGATCCACCTCTGTTATCATGCTAGGGAAGGCCTCGATCCACCTCTGTTATCATGCTAGTGATGACCTTGATCCACCTCTGTTATAATGCTAGTGAAGACCTCGATCCACCTCTGTTATAATGCTAGGGACGACTTCGAACCACCTCTGTTATCATGCTAGGGACGACTTCGAACCACCTCTGTTATCATGCTAGGGAAGGCCACGATCCACCTCTGTTTTAATGCTAGTGAAGACCTCGATCCACCTCTGTTATCATGCTAGGGAAGGCCTCGATCCACCTCTGTTATAATGCTAGTGAAAACGTCGATCCACCTCTGTGATAATGCTAGTGAAGACCTCGATCCACCTCTGTTATAATGCTAGGGACGACTTCGAAACCACCTGTTATCATGCTAGGGACGACTTCGAACCACCTCTGTGATCATGCTAGGGACGACCTCGATCCACCTCTGTCATCACGCAGTGTAGCAAGGATGTGTATTGTGTGATAACCTGCTGAAGCTTTGCCTTGCAAACACAGTAGCTAGACTCACCACTCTACACCCAGTTCTCATACCTGAGGATTGTGAGACGACCACTCCTTAACATTTTCTCTTTAACACAGCATATTTGCATGTCTTTCACCTCCATTCTTCTCTTCCTATTCTTACTAACATGTTGATGATAAGAACCATGTTGGTTCCTGCCATTGCCTATACACCATCATACTAACCTATAACCTCTCGGGATGTCATCAAATTTATTTTAAATATGTAGAATTGATTTTCACAATTTTATTCTTTCAATTTTTCACAAGCACCATTGTTTTTTTCTAAACTGCTGTAAGATGTGAGAACATCGCTCTAATGACTTCCTCATCACTTGCTACATGTGACCCAGCTTAAAAATGTAACCATTTTCCATCAGCTGAAGAAATACATTTATGTTGCAAATCCTGCCATTATCACTTCATGTAATTATATAATATACTCATCGCAGTACTCTCATCTCACTGTCGTCTTCATCACTAAGGCAGGGTGGCCCAGCGGTCCATGTCACAGCAAGATATACAGGTCTTAGCCTTGCCAGGATCCCTGGGTTCAAATCCCATATTCATCCTATGATACCAAGTCTCTCTGCACCATGGGTTTCATAGTTAAAATCAGTGATGTTTTGAGCAGACATGCTATGACTGAAATAATGTTGTAGTAACGGTTGCATCGACTCACTTACTCACTCAGCCCGTGAAATAATTGCATGTAGTCCGATGACAAGATAGCATGGTACAGGACGTCACCTGTTTCAACATCAGGTGGATAGGAGGCCAATGTTGCTACTGATGATGATGAAGATGGTGTTGTTGTTGCAGGTGGAGACGAACCTATTTTGTCCTATGAAGCAGTGCTGCAGCAGGAACGTAAGTAGAAAATACTCGAACCATTTATTTTCTGGAAGCGGTGGGAAGACTTGCAATGGAAATATATTTGTTAATATTCATTGTCCTGACACATGGATTGGAACTTAGCACCAGCCAATTTGCTAGCTAATGTGTTTTATTTGTTTTACACATATCTTTGGTTAGTATACAAATTATGTTCTTCCTCAGAAGGTCAAAACATCTCTTAGAAAAGTAATTTGTATAATTTATTGCTTTTGCAAATCTTGGGGTAAACACCTCTAAAACTAGCATTTCAAACAATAATGACCCAGTAGCACATTCTGTGGCACTCTGTCAATTACGTATACATCAGTGACCCTCTCATGATATGGATGATGCAATTAAAAACCCTGAACCAACACTTACTCCACTGTCCACCAGTCAAAACTCCCCACTGTGAATAGGTGGCCATAACCATGCAACTGAATGACGGTTATGTTTACAAACAAGTGATGACTGTCGTGACACCGAATACACTTATCGCTGCTAAATTACTTTGTTTGTCAATTTGAATTTCTGTTTCATTAAAACTATCGTATTATTGATGTTGTAAGAATGTAAGGGAGAAGTTGGTTGATTTTCCGTTAGTCTGCAATCTCGAACCAATCTGATTATCAAAACAACAAAGTAAATTCATCTGGAAAACATGGTCAGTCGTAAACCTTTTCAAATTGAAATATGATGGCATTCCCAAAGACATAAACAAAAGTATAAACGTTACTACATATGGGGATGGAGGGCAAATTTCAAGATTCTCGTAATTGTCAGCGATGTTACCGAGAGTGGAACGAAGGTGTCACACGCTGGGAAGGAGCTTGCCTTGTGGTGGAAACAAGGGACACAACTCACCCTTGTGGTGGAAACAAGGGACACAACTCACCCTTGTGGTGGAAACAAAGAGACACAACTCACCCCTTTGGTAGAAACAAGGGACACAACTCACCCTTGTGGTGGAAACAAGGGACACAACTCACCCTTGTGGTGGAAACAAGGGACACAACTCACCCTTTGTTCTACATTTGTGGTGTAGATTTGTACATATCCGTCTTGACTTCCTTAAACTCCAAGGGAGGTAATCATGTGTGTTGAATGTTCCAGTGCGGTACACGCGGCCTGTGATCATCCTGGGACCTCTCAAGGACAGGATCAACGATGACCTCATCTCAGAATTCCCAGATAAATTCGGCAGCTGTGTCCCTCGTGAGTATCTGTAAATAGCATGACAGCAAAACAGCTGAAATATTGTTAAGACACACAAAAACATAACTACAATATTTCCATAGAACATCATTTAATAATCCAAAAATTGGAAGGCCTTTTTCTTCCCATTCGGATCACCTCTGTAGGCTGCCTGTAGAGCGAAGGTCAGTGGTTTTTCTATCACCAGCTACATCAGACCAAAAGATGGTACTTGTTGTTACCCTGCCTGGCGCTGAGCATTAAGGGCATAAAACAAGGACTGGTTAGCTCAGAATAAGTATACTGTTTTGAGTGGGGTGTTCATGTTAAACTTGGGCATGGTATCTCAGTGGGCTAGCACTATAAAATCAGTATTAATACAGACTAGTATAAGCAGTCACGCAAACACATCGTGCAGTGCAACCCCATTTCACCTTACCTCCAACAGAATCTCCCAACAGACCATCACCAAGGGCTTGGGTAGCCTGAAGGTTAAATCGGGCACTTGTTCTGGGTTCTCTTCTCCACATTGTGTAAAGCCAATAAATTGGCTGGAGTATTGCTAAAATGCATATAAAAACACGCACTATCCTTGAGGCGCAAGAGGGATGTAAGTGTGAATGGCCATGCTTTGTTGTTGTCAAGCCTTGCTTCACTCCATGGGACTCATAGTTGTGTGTTGTGTGAAGTCTGTGGGATGTACTGACAGCAGCCATGCAACCTGTGCTTTCAGACACGACACGGGAGCGGCGAGACTACGAGCAAGATGCTCGAGACTACCATTTTGTGGCGTCCCGGGAGCAGATGGAGAAGGACATTCAGAACCATCTATTTATAGAAGCTGGTGTTTATAACGACAACTTGTACGGAACAAGTGTGGCCTCAGTGAAAGAAGTTGCCGAAAATGTAAGGGCAGATTTTAGATGAGGGTGACATGGCAAAAATGTGTTGACAGTAAATATATTTCTTTATAACCCCGACAGTAAATATGTTTGTATATTACCCCCTGACAGTAAATATGTTTGTTTATTACCCCCGACAGTAAATATGTTTGTATAGTACCCCCTGACAGTGAATATGTTTGTATATTACCCCCTGACAGTAAATATGTTTGTATATTTCCCCCTGACAGTAAATATGTTTGTATATTACCCCCTGACAGTAAATATGTTTGTATATTTCCCCCTGACAGTAAATGTTTGTATAATACCTGCTGACAGTAAATATGTTTGTATATTACCTCCTGACAGTAAATATGTTTGTATATTACCTCCTGACAGTAAATATGTTTGTATATTTCCAAGCAGAAGAAGCACTGCATCTTGGATGTGAGCGGGAACGCCATTAAGCGGCTCCAGGTCGCAGGTCTCTACCCCATTGCCATCTTCATCAAACCCAAGTCCATCGACTCCATCATGTAAGGCCCAGGGGAGGATTCATGTTCATTACCATAACTTGTAGCTGCACATAAAACTGATGACTGTGTGATTCAGATTAGAACTGGTCTTCAGCAACCCATGCTTGTAAGAGGCGGGATCAGGTGGTCAGGCTCGCTGACTTAGTTCATTGCATGTCAACGTATCCCCATTGCGTAGATTGTGATGTCAATCACTCGATTGTCTGGTACAGAAAGGACCAGGCTGTTGTCATATTGCAGAGTTTATTGCCGATATTAAAAAGCAAACAAATAAGGCCAGGAATTCAGATACAGTTCATTATAAGCGTGTTCGGTTTAAACGTAGTTTACCGTATTCTAAATGGAATTGTGAGATTTTGCACACTAGATTGATCACTGGATTGTTTGGTCCGAACTCAGGCTGTCATATAGCTGGAATAGTGCCAAGTACGATATGAATGATATTTGAACAAGCAAACAATCTCATCCATCTGATTGTCTTGACAGGGAGATGAACAAGAGAATCACCGATGAGCAGGCACGGAAGACCTACGAACGAGCCTTGAAACTGGAACAGGAATTTGGGGAGTATTTCACAGGTTGGTGGAACAAGATTGGTTGGAGATTAGGGAAAGGAACAGCCAAAAAGATTCATATATTTTTGTCATGGACTGTAATAATATGCCTGGAACTTTTACTTCATCATCATCACCACCATCATCGTCCTCATCATGCAGTGATGAGTTGGCAAACATTACAATTATCGGATTCTTGTTAATGATATGGTTACTGTCATCAATATTTGATCATGGAAGACACAAGGATGAGATCCTATTTATCATCTAAACACATTCTTTCAACTTTTTCATTTTGTAAACAGTGTTAACCAGTGTCTTAAGTGAAATAAGTAAACTAACCAACTTCAGTGGCTAAGAGATGGCCTGCAAAGCATTGTGATGCAATTTCATTGTAGTTATGTTGTGGAAGCCAATTTTGGGGTAAGGGTATAAGTTGATATTTAGATCTAACTCCACAGAATAGAAGACAATACCCAAAACCAGCGATCTTTGGACTTTTAGGGGGGACAAGGTTCTACATCAAGTAACCAATATCTGACATTGGATACTAGTATTTCAATGTTCGCATTACCTACAGTGGAGGGTTTGTAAGGGTTTGAGAAAGGTATCAAGTGAAGTAAAAGATCTAATGTTAGAGATATTGTGAAACCTTTTAAGTATCCTATATCTGAAATACTGTCTGTGGATGCATGTGCCCTTTCCCAAATGGTGGCTGCAATTTGAAAATGTTGATACTATGTATGGTCAAGTTTCGCTAATCTGACACTTGTTAATCCGACAATCGGTTTATCCAGCACAAATGATGCGGACCGATCAGTGCTGTGTTGGCCTGTTTACCAGACTCTCGCCCTCGACTCCGACACACCTTATTTGCAACGGATTGCAGAAATTAGTCTCTAATCCGACACTGTGATCAGCCTACTCTGTGGTCATCCGCCCATCAGTACCCAGCCCGTGGTTTGATGCCAAGTCGGCTAGTAGCTGCTTATTAAAATGGCTACAGACAAAAACTTGCTTAACAATAAACATTAAATGCCTTAAATAAACAAAACAGGTTTAAATAAATTACATGTTTAGACTACCTCACTCTTATTAAAATCAGAACTTAATTATTTTTTATCCGTCACACTTAATAATCATATGCAACCAACCATGTCCGATTAATGGGACTTGCCTGTCTTCCAGTCTGACTCATTATGTCATGTCTGTCTTCCAGTCTGACTCACTATGTCATGTCTGTCTTCCAGTCTGACTCATTATGTCATGTCTGTTTCAGCTGTGGTCCAAGGGGACACTGCGGATGAAATCTATGCAAAGGTGAAAGAGGTTATTCGAGACCAGTCAGGACCAACAATCTGGGTTCCAGCTAAAGACAAACTCTGAACTCTTACGTCTTAGAGGAAATAAACTCATAACTTCCGTTCATATGATAGTCATGTGACGGTCATGTGACAGTCATGTGACTGATAGGTGATGCTCAGGCTGTACATTATCTCTTCGTGGTCGGAGACTTTGTGATACTGTAAGAATGATGGGATACTGTTGCTACGACGACCGGACCTGTTGCTGTAGTGATCTCAAGATTCTCCTCTGCAGATCTGATCGTGGCTTTCAACGTTTACCATACGACCTTGACCTTGACTCAAGCTCTTCCGGATGTTGCTCACCCGTAACTCCATGTATGGTTGGAATCTGAAGTTTAGCCATACACTTTTGCTACTTCCTGAGTTCCCGAGAACGCAAGGCCTTTTCGAGGTGTACACATACAACGGGTTGACAGGCCGCGTCAGTAACGGGGACTACCGGTAATGATGTATAATTAGACGCAGGTTCCAGACGAGACCTGCACCCACCGGCTGTCGGACTTGTGTACAAGTGTATTACTACTTATTTAAGACTTGTGTTAGTTGCTGATGACTGCCTGAGCAAGGAACAGCAAGCATATAGATACGTGCCCGTCACAGAATCCACAGCTGTGAAAGTATGGAATACCATTCTCGCCAAATTATTTATTGATGAGCTATGTCATCAAATTGCAGCCTGCACAAACCAAGATACAATTAAATTCCATCTTTCATTGTGAGATCATTTAGAAAAATCAAAACTCATGATATGCTGATGGATCTTGCATATTATTTTTAAAGTTCAAACAAGGTATTGTAATGTTTTGATGTACAAACCCCGAAACTGGGCCTATACTGCTGTGATTAAGGGATGTATGTAAAAATTGTCAATAACCGTTGCCATGGTAAGATGTTACTTTTATGTATCCATGGCAACCAAAAGTATTTCCCTTTTTGTGATGCTCTGCAAATATGGTAGGTTTTAATCCAGTGCGTGAATGAATGGTTATGATAGTACTGTGCAACTTATTCTGCAAGTTGGCTTTTAGTTTCCCGTTGCCATGGTAATCAGTGATTGTCGTATGACATCAAAGTTTATCATAACTAGTTGTTGAGCTTCATGCGGTCGTTACTTTTAGTAGACTAATGACCATTCACTATCATGGCACACACACATGGCACGTTTTGCAGAGGTATTGTTTACATTACATTAAGTTTTACCAGCTCATTACACAGACTAGCTTTCCACTTGTCAGCAGCCCTCTGGAGTCATTGTTTTAGCTTTGTTATTTAAACACTAGTTTAGCGAGCTGTTTTTGACTGTATCATTTTGATATATATATATTGCAATTTAAAAAACAGCATATGTAGGCCTGTATAGATGTATTGTGACCTTCACCTTGTCCTGACCCTCTTGAAAATCACAATTAGTGATTGGCGGAAATAAACCACTATTTATTCTGGTTTGACTCCCGCTAGTTTTCTTTGTTATTTTCTGCATGCTGCTGATTGTTGTCATGGCGAGGCACGTGGTTGTCATGGCGAGGCACGTGGTTGCCTAGCAACATCTCCAATGATTGTGCTAGTACGTACACCAAGAGATGGGGATGTAAAATTATCCATTATTTAAGAAATCATGTCTGTACGGACAGAGAAAATTGTTGAAGTTTTTGTACCGCTGACTAGTGCTTTAAATTATGTACAACTGTACAAATATTTTCAAGCAACAAAGTACCTGTTGTTATGTAAAGTAATGGTTTGTTAAATTGTGCAATGTGAAGTTTCCACCTGTTGAAATTGTCCAGGTACATGTCTAGATCTATTTGCTGTTGTGCAGGCCTACCAGGGAAACAATTCAGCAGGCTAAGGGTTAATAGACATTTCCCATGCCTCATGTTCCGCCGGGTGCAGTGGTATAATGATGCTAAACCATCATACATGAACGTTCAATGGCAATAGAACATCTGTGGTAGGAGGTATCGGAACCAATTACTAAGATCCACGGGGTCCAATAATCTCCATCCCTTATATGAAGCACAGGACAAGATATAAGTAGAGTTCCTACAGCCTACAGTGGTGTGTATGTCTTCAGTTTTAGTGGTATGTATGTAAGTTTTCAAGAGGGTCGTCTCCCTTACCTGTAGTCAGCTTGTACATGTAGCTTTTTTCGTTACTTGTCTATATATGTCTACTGTACATCTCCCTTCGTCACTGGGAGGATTTGGCAGGAAAAGTAATTTCTGTCCTGAATCGCATTCTTACCCATGTCCATTTGGGGAGTTTTCGTCATGAAAATGTAAAACGTCTTCAGGAATGTGATGGGTTTTGGTTTTGCACTTCAAAGCGTTTCTTTCGGTTCCAGAATCGATCATTGATAAGGATTACTTTTTCAGCAGATCTCCCAAAGGCGTGTTATCATATCATTGATATCAAAGACCACACATCGATATTTGTTGTTTCATACAGTCGACATGGACAGTCATACGTCACCTCCACTCCACCAATACAGAGTGTAGCTCTCCATTATGGCACAAGGGTTGGTCAATACAAAGGTTCTATCATGACTTTGTCCTGCAGTATAGCAACTTTCATACTTAGATATAAGGATTGTGAATGATATCTGTCCACGGCACATTATCTGTTTGGCATATTAAAGATGGCACTTTTAATGAAATTGTGTATATAGTAAAAATTAGGAAAATCATTTATCATACTTGTTGATCTCTTTTGATCCCCATCAAGGCAATAAGTTTTTGTATATCACAAAACTACATTAATGACACCACAAGATAGTGAAGAATATCATGGATAGTGATCCTGGGACAACAGTCTACTGCTACTTGGATAGTCGTGAAGAGCTAAAAAGGTAGAGACAGAATTGCCCAACCCTTGTCAAGAATTACTGCAGTGATACAGGTAATCCAACACATGTTCTATAGAGATGTGAGGTTATTTTCTATTCAACATTGCAAATATATTATGTGAAAGTGTATTTTAATTCATCACCTTAATGAAAATTATGGCATGTACATGCTACCAAAATTGTAAATAATTTGAAATTATCGCCTCAGTATCTATTACATCTATGCTAAAATGATAGATTGCTTTAAAGTTAGAAAAAAAGTTAGAATGATCACTCACATTTGCTCTATAGTTACCTCAGATAGGGAGACAACAAATGTTTATTTTAGATGAGAAATTTTTTTTACTACAAGCTACTATTTCTGATTTTCAATATTCGGAAATATATTACAACATAATTTAGTTGTTCACGTTAATAATATCAGTGCTTTAAGTAAGTCAGATGAAATTTGACTGGATAACCGTATTAGTTTCTTTAGTGTGTCTGATTAGGCAGATGAAACGAAAATGTGCAATCATAGCATTGTTCTTGACTTTTGGGGCGAGTTATTGTACAGAAATAGAGCCCTGATTTGTCAGAAAGTTGAAGGAAGCTAGCATGTTGAACACTGTAAGTCTTTAGGTAAGTAGTACGGCTCCGTCCTCTATAGGATTGAGGTATGTCGTGTGGAAGATGTTAGCTGTACAAATCTGTTAACGAGGAGTGTAGGCATTCAAGAAAATAAACTGCCGATACTACACATTTTACAATTTGTTGTGTTTTATACCACAGCTATAGACTACTGTTCAGTACATGTATTCTGGCGGCCATGGGTTGTTATAAATTTCAAAGAACCATGGAAGTTCCCATCGTTTTTCAGTTTTAGTTTTTCTAATGATCCTACACTTTTACTCATAGGGGTGTGTGTTTTTTACAGTGTTAAAACAATGGCTTCTTATACCAAGGACCCACAAGAGTGCTGTGACTAAGTGAAGTGTGTTCTTGGAGCCCTTGCCCTGTACAGCTGCAATATTGGAAAAGACTTTCTATGACATGGTTTACGAATCTGTCTTACAAAAAAGTAAATCAGTCTTTGTTTGTTTTGAGTTTTGAGTCTTTTTTTTTATTTTATTTCTCTGTAAGAGAAGAAAATTTCAAGTAAAGGATTGTTGTGTCCTTTAAACTTCATCCCATGACTATACTTTCAAAGCAATATTTTAAAAAATTATGTTTCTCACATTTTTCGAAACCTTTTAGTTTTTGCCCAAAGACTATCAACCACTGCAAGAATTGAAAAATAAGTCGTCAAAGCAGCATCCAAACATCAAGGATCTGATTAATTATGAAGGGAAGAGGTTTCTTGGTGGCTAGAGTTTACCCAAAAGTTACTAAGGCTGCCTATTAACCTGAAATTACTACCTTGTTTTAAAATAAACAAGAATACACCAGGATTAAAGTTTCAACCACATTCCAGGGGCTGGGGGTGTTTGCAGGGCTCAAATTTCAACACACGCAAATAATAAGGTTTAATGCAATCAGAGGGGCCTGATGAAGGGATAGCTAAACCCAGTGGTAAACTTGGAGTGAAACTACTTGCATTCAGTTGAAATATAACATGTCTTGCCATTAATATTTGAAACAAGTTTGGTGTTTCACAAAAGTGAAAGATCTAATTATTATTAATTGTTCCCAGACTGATCACTATTATTTGCATTTAAACTGATGAAAAAACACCATTTTGTCGATTTGGTCAAAGTTGGTCAAATACCACCTTGTCAGGTTATGTGTATGAATCAAGCAGTAAATGATAAACCTAATTAAAACGACACAATTCCCCAGCTTCGCACAAAGAAGGAATTATAAGGTCATCGCACAGAGCAGGGATCATAAGGTCATCGCACAGAGCAGGAATAACAAGGTCATTGCAAAGAGCAGTGGTAACGAGGTCATTGCACAGAGCAAGAATTACAAGGCCATTGCACAGAGCAGGAATTAAAACGTTATTGCACAGAGCAGGAATAACAAGGACATCGCACAGAGCAGGAATAACAAGGTTATCGCACAGAGCAGAAATTACAAGGTCACTGCTCAGAGCAGGAATTAAAAGGTCATCGCACAGAGCAGGAATTACAAGGTCATCGCACAGAGCAGAATAACAAGGTCATCACAGCAGGAATTACAAGGTCACCTCAGAGCAGGAAATACAAGATCATTGCACAGAGCAGGAATTTAAAGGTCATTGCACAGAGCAGAATAACAAGGTCATCGCACAGATCAGAATAACAAGGTCATCACAGAGCAGTAATTACAAGGTCATCTCACAGAGCAGGGAATACAAGGTCATCGCACAGAGCAGGAATTTAAAGGTCATTGCACAGAGCAGGAATTACAAGGTCATCGCAAGGGAATTACAAGGTCATCTCACAGAGCAGGAATTACCAGGTTATTGGACAGTAATTACAAGGCCAGAACATTGAGAATATTAACTTGTATCACGTGGTATTCATCAGTTAACCATGGGCTGGAATAATTACCACGCTAACAGACAGATGTTTATCTTGGAAGGGGGAAACAACAGTTGTGTTTTCACAACATTTTGTACATGTCAAATGGTCAAATATCAAATGTTCGGTTTGTGGAGGTACACCGTCGGGGTACAATAAAAAGCAATCAACCAGGGTGAGGTGAGGTGAAATGTAGTTTGACGTCCCGAGTAGGTATAAATGTGGACCTTCGGCTCCTACGTACATGACGTCACAAAGAAGGCGGAGTTATTATGAATAGATTCGATGGTCGCGTAAATGTTGTGAGTTAGGTTTAACGCCGCTTTTAACAGTATTCCAGTAAATTCCAGTTATATCACGGCGTGTCAGCTTAATGTGGGAAGAAAGTGAGTGAGTGATGCAGGTCTCAGACGTTTACCACTTCGGTGAAACCCACGAGCACGGGTATGGTGCTGACAAACCTAGAAACATAATCGGGGCCAACCCACAATCATAGGTTTCAGGCGCGCCCAAGGGACGCAACTCTGCACAGCGAATCGCGACTGGGCCACCCTTTCCCCCTGGTCGTGTTAAGTTAATAGACCCGCAGTTGGAGATAACTCAGGTAATGGAAGGGTTCCTTGTTTTTTTTCCCAGTGAAGCAAGTAGTCGTTCGGCCCTTGATGTGCGTACATCCAAGGATAGTAATAAATTCCATTTAAGGAAGTGCTTCCTACGTTACTGAAGGAAAATGTCATTGAACAAAATCGCAGGTGATTTTATTGTCCATGGATGGATAAGCTATCGCGCGCTAACCTGGGCCGAATGGGCTCGCTAAGCAAACACACGGGACAAAACATAAGACATTAAAAAAACACCAGTACCTGAGAATTTAAAACGATGCCAACCTGTTCAATCTTAAAATACTTGACAGCTATCCTATTTAAGGGGCGGTCGGGTAGCCTAGTGGTTAAAGCGTTCGCTCGTCACGCCGAAGACCCGGGTTCGATTCCCGACATGGGTACAATGTGTGAAGCCCATTTCTGGTGTCCCCCGCCGTGATATTGCTGGAATATTGCTAAAAGCGGCGTAAAACCATACTCGCTCACTCACTCACTATCCTATTTAATAACATTCATCACCAAATTAAAAATCAGTTTTACAGGCAATAAAATGCAAACAATGACAGTTATGTGAAAAGACACACCATGGAGTCCAGTTAAGGGTTTTTGGAACCAGCTGTAACTGTAACCTCGAGGAACCATGGGTCGAGGATTACAATGATATTGTACATGTCAAAATAAGGTCACCATTGTTGTGTTTCAGTACATCTGATTGCCAGAAAAAAAGTCATTAAAAAGTCCAGATCTTATACGGTGCCAGGGCCTGATGCTATTCGAAACCGGTATTGGAAACTGTTTCCATGTATCCAAACACCATTAATTCACTGTTAAAATTCTCTTTTGGGTACAGGGGGTGGTCTGCCTTGGTTGTGCAAAGGTCGAACAATACTTCTCCCAAAGAAAGGTGATTTGACTGATCCCCAAAACTTCCGCCCTATTATTTGTCAGAATACACAATACAAAATATTGTAAAGCCCGAAGTGATGCAGGTTTCAGACGTTTACCACTTCGGTGAAACCCACGAGCACGGGTATGGTGCCGTCAAACCCAGAAACATAATCGGGGCGAACCGGAATTCTGGCGTGCCCAAGGGACGCAACTCTGCACAGCCATTGGGCGGTTTAGACGACTGGGCCACCCGTGCCCCTCTATTTTAAAAGAACGCGTGTGGATTCTTCTAGAAGACAAAACATGTCATTAACCGAATTTTAAAACATTTTAGTTTTAAAACACACGCTTTGAATAAAACTACTTTTATCATGGAAAACTCATTTGTTTGCATGTATATCTTCCAATTCACATGTTATTTTATATTATAGAGTCTGGTATTTGTATGAATTATTACACCGAACCTAGAGTTGAAAGCGATGATGTTTATATGTTAAACTTCAGCAACAGCTCCTGTTCAGATGAGGCCTGTCCATGGTCCTCACCGGAGTCAGGGGTCCGTTTGGATGGCCACCCATTCCTCTGACCAGAATGTACTCTTGTCCGTCGCGGAATACCCACAGGGGATTGGTATTACAAAGATTATTCGCTGTGCAGAGTTGTGTCCCTTGGGCACGCCAGAAACCTATGATTGTGGGTTCGAATCCCGGTTCGCCCCAATTATGTTTCTAGGTTTGCCAGCACCGAAGTGGTAAACGTCCGAGACCTGCATCACTTCGGGCTTTCCTCCCACATTAAGCTGACACGCCGCAATATAACTGGAATACTGTTAAAAGCGGAGTTAAACCCAACTCACTCACTCACTTTCAATGATTTGTAGAATAGAACGTCTCATACCCGTTCTGATGTCCCCCGCTGGAATGTTGCTAAAAGCGGCGTAAAACCACGTAAACTTATTCACTCACCGGGCGGTCGGGTAGCCTAGTGGTTAAAGCGTTCGCTCGTCACGCCGAAGACCCGGGTTCGATTCCCGACATGGGTACAATGTGTGAAGCCCATTTCTGATGTCCCCCGCCGTGATATTGCTGGAATATTGCTAAAAGCGGCGTAAAACCATACCCACTATCACTATTCACTCACTCATTGTAATGAGCCTCAGTTACTCCACTGTACTCCAGACTATTTACACCACATGTTCACGAACAACCCCTTTACACTGGGCGGCTCGTGATAGGAAACGGTTCTTTAATCAGACATTCCTGGCAAGTGTCCCCGAAACTGATCTGCTGATACAAGAGCAATACGAGCAACTCTTCAATGCTGTTATGCTTCTTGACATGCATGGGTAGTAGGTTGGTATGTTGATAGCATGGGCTTTCTGCCCGCATTTGACTTTACTGAAGGAGTCACAACGAACATATCTTGTTGTAAGAAGTGGACCTGTCTAAACAGGACTCTGGGTAATCCTGTCCATACCAGACATGTTCATTTGTCCAGTGCCGCCTCCGTGGTCCAGTGGATAGAGTGTTTGCCCGGAGAGCGGAAGGTCTGAGGTTCGACCCCCTGGTCGCCTCCGTGGTCTAGTGGATAGAGTGTTTGCCTGGAGAGCGGAAGGTCTGAGGTTCGACCCCCTGGTCGCCTCCGTGGTCTAGTGGATAGAGTGTTTGCCTGGAGAGCCGAAGGTCTGAGGTTCGACACCCTGGTCGCCTCAGTGGTCCAGTGGATAGAGTGTTTGCCTGGAGAGCGGAAGGTCTGAGGTTCGACCCCC